CGTCATCTGTTTGTGTTGATGTGATTTCTGTTGTTTCGAGTTTTGGACCTAATCGCTTTTTAATAGTACGTTTAATTGTTTTTATTTTACGTGGCTTACCATCGTCAGTAGGAACCTCCTCTTCTTTGGTCTCTTCCGGAAGTTCAAGTATTTGTGGGACTTCAGGGAGCTCTTCGAAGTCTGGAGCAGGTTCTTCTTTCACGACAATACTGGTGACCGGTTCTTCGCCGTCCTTTTCAATCGTTGTTATCTCAGTTACTTCTTTCTTAGGCCCTTTACGCTTTTTAATCACTCGCTTGATTGTTTTCACCTGCTGCGTTTCACCACTTTCTGTCTTCACTTGTTCAATCTGTACTTGTTCGGGTTCTTCTTCAATCACTTTAGCTCGTTGTGGTTCTTGTAAAGTATCAAGTGGAGATGTAGTGTCATCAAGTATTTCCTCTGTTGTGTATACTGTAACGATTGGTGTTTCGTCATCTGTTTGTGTTGATGTGATTTCTGTTGTTTCGAGTTTTGGACCTAATCGCTTTTTAATAGTACGTTTAATTGTTTTAATTTTACGTGACTTACCATCGTCAGTAGGAACCTCCTCTTCTTTGGTCTCTTCCGGAAGCTCAAGCACTTGTGGGACTTTAGGGAGCTCTTCGAAGTCTAGAACAGGTTCTTCTTTCACGACAATACTGGTGACGGGTTCTTCGCCGTCCTTTTCAATCGTTGTTATCTCAGTTACTTCTTTCTTGGGCCCTTTACGCTTTTTTATCACTCGCTTGATTGTCTTCACCTGCTGCGTTTCACCACTTTCTGTCTTTACTTGTTCAATCTGTACTTGTTCGGGTTCTTCTTCAATCACTTTAGCTCGTTGTGGTTCATGTAAAGTGTCAAGTGGAGATGTAGTGTAATCAAGTATTTCCTCTGTTGTGTGTACTGTAACGATTGGTGTTTCGTCGTCTGTTTGTGTTGATGTGATTTCTGTTGTTTCGAGTTTTGGACCTAATCGCTTTTTAATAGTACGTT